TTAAAAAATTAAATTAATACTTAAAAAATTTTTATTATCATTTTTTTTAGAAAAAAAATTTAGAAAAAATAAAAATTTTTGCAGACTTTTTTAAATGGAGAAAACGAGAGTTGATAAAGATGAATAAACGAATGATAAAATTTTCTGTAAATTTTTGGTTACATACACATAGACGAAAATACATTGGACTGTTAATTATTTACGCGATGCGGTTGGATTATGAATGGCCAAGTGCACATGAGACCACATCTGGCTCAAAGAGAATTTAATGCCCGGAAAGTATGGATTTGAAATATGTTCCTACCTTAGTAACATTCTTCATTTGACGATATTTAATAAAGTTTTAAGACCGCAGATTAACATAATATAAAGCTTTCACGTTATTACAGATATTTTACACTACTATTATATTTGATATATGAGAAGTATTGAGCGTTTATTTAAATACTTTTGAATTAAATAATAAAAAAATTAATAAATTTTTAAAATTTTTAATAATTTTAGTACCAGCTAAAAAAACAGCATCCGAGCTACAATGGACCAATTATCCTCTAACCTACAATGGACCAAAGAGGGTAAAAATTTTTGAGATAAACTCTCTGGCATAGCAGAGGATTTATAAAAAAATGTTTAGGGCACTATTTGACAGGACCTACAGCATCCGAGCTACAATGGACCAATTATCCTCTAACCTACAATGGATCAAAGAAGATAAAAATTTTCGAGATGAACTCTCTGGCATAGCAGAGGATTTATAAAAAGTGTTTTGGGCACTATTTGACAGGACCTACAGCATCCGAGCTACAATGGACCAAAGAAGATAAAAATTTTCGAGATGAACTTTCGGGCATAGCAGAAGAGATATAGTGATTTACAAAAAATATTTCGGGCACCATTTGATAGGACCTACAGCATCCGAGCTACAATGGACCAATTATCCTCTAACCTACAATGGACCAAAGAAGATAAAAATTTTCGAGATGAACTCTCTGGCATAGCAGAGGATTTATAAAAAAATGTTTAGGGCACTATTTGACTGAACCTACAGCATCCGAGCTACAATGGACCAGTTATCCTCTAACCTGCAATGTACCAAAGAGGGTAAAAATTTTCTAGATAAACTTTCGGGCATAGCAGAAGAGATATAGTAATTTACAAAAAATATTTAGGGCACTATTTGATAGGACCTACAGCATCCGAGCTACAATGAACCAATTATCCTCTAACCTACAATGGACCAAAGAAGATAAAAATTTTCGAGATAAACTTTCGGGCATAGCAGAAGAGATATAGTGATTTACAAAAAATGTTTAGGGCACTATTTGACAGGACCTACAGCATCCGAGCTATAATGGACCAGAGAAGAAAAAATGTTCGAAATAATCTCCAAAGGATTTTTAATATAATTCGAAAATAAGAAGATCGATTATTAATTATTTTTTTTATTGAGACTTATAAAAACATATATTTTTTTGCGGTATCTTGTTCTCCAAATGGAGCGAAAAAGCTTCCTGCTGGTTACGTCGGGTTTCATGCTGCTTTAGGATCGACTGGGTCCTTTAGAGAAAAGGGAATACACGCGAGGGAGAAAAAAAACATATTCGTGAGAGGGGAAAATAAAATAAAAATTTATCCAAGGAAACGATTTTTAAGTTTCATTTTTGTATTTTTTTTAAGGATTCAGTCTGGCTGAACAATAAGAAAAAATTTGATATAAAAAATGGAATAGTATTAAGAAAAACTACTTTTTAAATCTCGGTCTTTGAGTTTAGAGACTTTTCGTAAGTCAAGAAAATTCGCGAAGTTGTATTCCAATCTGTACAATAATCCCGGAAAGCTTAAACACGACTCTCGTATTAAATTCACAGTAAGACAAAAGACTTTGATTCTGTTTCTAAAGAGGTCTATCGTGTTCGAGCTTTACAAAGTGTATAAGCTGTCTTTTCTACAATATATATATATATATATTATTATCACTCAGGGACATTGTTCAATTATTCCTGGCAATCCTTATTCATATATTGTTATAGAGAGAGAAATTCCTACACTTTGTCAACATATGTAGAAGAGAGTCATCTTTGCTTGAAAATGCACGTTCCATGCTCTATGTAATATCCTATGAGAATCAAACATGTATATACCCTTAACTCGTACGTGTAAATGGAACACGGTTTACCCGCACATTCAAGACGCACGAAGGGGTCGTTATCGCATTCACTACATTGGTACGAATATGGGCTTTATTTGCAATCCGAAATTCCCCCCCCCCTACTTCTCTCGAATTCATGTATTACATTTGTTATTCAAATATCATTTTAACCAATCGCACAAAATAGCTAATTCAACGATTTGTTTAATTCACATTTATATATATTTACATTAAAATATATTTTTTAAACTTTCACGAATTCATTGATTTCTTTTTATATTTTTCCAGCAAAAATTTATTTTTTCTCCAAAACTTAATGAATTTATTTATTTGATTTCTTTTTAATTTTTCCTCCAAATATTTGACGAATCTACTCCCATTTGGAAAGATTCCCCGGAAAGTGCCCCATGGAGGTTCTATTAGAATTCCGCCGGAACTTCCAACGTAATTCCGTCGGAATTCCATTGGAGTTCGAAAGAATTTCCGATGGGAATCCGACGGAATTAGGACTCTAAAAATTTTGAAAAAAAATTAATCGGAATTCCGAATCGCATCGGAAATTCTTTGGAACTCCGATATGGAATTCCGACGGAATTACGTTGGAAGTTCCGGCGGAATTCTGATAGAACATCCAGGGGGTTCATTATGTAATTCCATTTACAATTTTTCTCATTTCCACTCACACTTCCATTTCCACTTTTCCTAATTTTCATTTCCACTTCCACGTTCTCTCATTTTCACTCCCATTACCACTTCCACTTTTTCTCATTATCATTCCCACTTCCATTTCCACTTCTACTTTTTCTAATTTCCACTTCAACTTTTTCTAATTTTCATTTCCACTCTATTTCCACTTCCACTTTTTCTCATTTCCACTCATACTTCCATTTCCACTTCCACTTTTTCTAATTTTCATACCCACTTTCATTTCCATTTCCACTTCCACTTTTTCTAATTTCCACTCCCACTTCCATTTCCACTTTTTCTAATTATTATTCCCACTTGCATTTCCACTTTTTTAATTTTAATTCCCACTTCCACTTTATCTCATTTTCATTCCCACTTCCACTTTATCTCATTTTCATTCCCACTTCCACTTTTTCTCATCTCACGTCCAATTGTGTAAATGAAAGTGGAAATGAAAAATAGAAAAAGTGGAAATGGAAGTGAGAGTGGAAGTGGAAAAGAGAGTGGAAATTGAATTTGGAGTATAACAATTAGAAAAAGTAAAAATGGAAGTGGGAATGAAAATTAGAAAAGTAGAAGTGAAAATGGGAATGAAAATTAGGAAAAGTGGAAATAGAAGTGGGAGTGGAAATTAGAAAAAGTGGAAATGGAAATAAAAATTAAAAAGAGTAGCAGTGGAAAATGAAGTTGGAGTAGAAATTCGAAAAAGTGGAAGTGAAAATGGAAGTGGGAATGGAAATTAGAAAAGTAGAACTGGAAATGGGAGTGAAAATGGAAATGGAAGCGGGAATAAAAATTAGAAAAAGTAGAAGTGTAAATAGAAATGAGAAAAGTGGAAGTGGATGTGAAAATGGAAATGGAATTACATAATCGACCCCCAGGGGGCACTTTCCGGGTTATCTTTCCAAGTGGGCTTATTTGATTTCTTGTTTTATTTTATTTTCAATATTTTTATTTTCAGTGTTAGAAATTTGTAAATTTGAATCAAAAAAAAAAAAAAAAAAAAAAAAAAAAATGAAATTTGTTCGTCAAAAATATTGATTACAATCGGTATATGGTTTTTGTGCCAAAAGCAATTGGCACACAAGGGGTGAGGGTATAAATTATTGGAATCAGCATTCCGAGCCAGTGTTTGTAGTTAATTGCAAATTGGCTTCAACGCAACTGGCAGATAAAGACGGGAGTCGATAATAAATATGGCTACCTACAGATTTCCACTTTACAGCCTCTCTATTCGAGTTCAAGCCTCAGTCACCACACCAGTAATCAAGCACTAAACTTCTGGCACAGCCTTGGCTAATTAATGGAGACTGATTGCTCAACTCCATTCACAATAGTCAATTGCTGTGACTTTGTGCTATCGATGTCATTTCAAGTATGACATTCTTATAGAAAAAAAAAACTACTAAAAAAGAAAATTTGTCTCTGTGACCAAAATGTTTCAATTAACGTTCAATATTACTCAATTTATTATTATTATTATTTCTATTAATATTTTTATTAATTATTTTTTTATATAATTTTTTTATTCTGATACCAAATAGGGAAAAAATTATTATTAATTTTCAATTATTCAAGAAAATATATTATCAAAACTCCTTTTTCTGACATCCTTTCAATTTTCACACATATCGTTTATATATTGATTTCCATTATATTATGTAAAACAGTTTTTTCCAACGATATTGAAAATTATTGTTGAATTATTTTTATTTTATTTTATTTTATTTAATCACAATTATAAAAATTGCGAAAAAAAATGAAATTTAACTAATAATAATAATTAATTATTAGAGAGAATGGAATTACAGAAATTATGTCACCTTCACATATATGGTTCATAAATGTATTGTTATCAAAGACCGGAGTTATGTCATGCGAGGAATTTCTGTGACCGTAGTTAACCTACCACCGAACATAAGCTGAGGTCTCGTGAACCCAACTGCGTGATTGAAATTGTTCGCATAACAAAAAGTTTACACTTTCGTGAATTGTTTACATGAGAAAAAAAAATATATATGAAAATAAAGTCGATCAAAGGTATCTTTGAAATTTCACATTTTTGGGCGAAAAAAAAATTTGCAAAAAATATTAAATAGAAGTCTCGGAAGTAAATAAAAAATAAATAATAATTTTTTTCTTAAAAAATGGCGTATGTACATACCTGATAGCCATGCTTTTCGCCTTGAGATGGTGCCATCTTTGGTTCATTTCATCGAGTCGTCGCTGAAGCATAACGGCGTCATCTTGACTGGCCAAAGAACTGAGAAGTTTCCTTCCTGTTCCATTCAACGATGCATAAACATCTCGATGTGTCTCGATTTCGGACTGAAGATCCTGTAACAAAAAAAAGCAAATTTTCAATATATATAAATACTTCAAAAAAAAATACTTTCTTTAATCTAATTTTTTTAAAAATTAAAATAATTTTCCTCTTCGACACAACTCTATTGTGCGCTATCAATTTGCAATAAATATTATGTTTATTATCCAAATAAAAATGATAAATAGAATAATGTAATAAACGATTAATCTAGTAATAAAAGCCAACAATATAAATTGAATGCCTTTTTGGGAAAATTGATGCTTTTCTATAATAATAATCGAAGGGGATTTCAAAAACACATAAAAACTTAACGATTCACTGTTAAATTTCCGATCAATCCAATATCAAAACAAGTGCATAGAACAAAATAGCAATTCTAGGTAAAATTGAACCGGTGATTGTGTCCCTTTAGTGGAAATGGCTAACTTTATGGGAAGCGCGTGTTGGTACCATTTCGTCATTTCGTCGTCGACGAGAATATTGTTGAATGTTAGCGAACGGAAATGATTTATGTTATTCCCTTCATACGTATTGAACAATTGTCATTGTACATATATAGTTACAAAATGGCTCTTATAAATTTTCAAAAACATTGTATTTTCAAAAATTTATTTATAAACTAAAATTATGACAATTTTGAAAAATATATTTTTTTATAAAAAAAATTATTTTAGAAAAAATTACATAATATATTTACTCTCTAAATCTGAATTAGTAAAAATGTTTACTAATTTAAATTAGTGACTCACTTTTTGCTTTAGAATTAGTAAAATTTTACTAATTATTAGTAACTTTTACTAACAATTAGTAAAATTTTACTAATTGAGAAGCAAAAAGTGAGTCACTAATTCAAATTAGTAAACTTTTTTACTAATTCAGATTTAGAGAGTAATTAATAATTTTTTATTCGTGAGATATTTCCTTCATCTTTTTTTGTAATCGACAATTTTGGACTTTCGAAATAAATAATTCGCGCTGGACGTCAACTTCAATCTTGACCTTTTGCTTTTATTATTTCTTTTTTTTCATTTTTTTTTTTTTTTTTTTTTTTTTTTTTTTTTTTTTTTTTTAAGAGTGAGGGATTCATTCGACGTCACAGCTCGACGCATCTGGTTTACGGATGGATGGTCCGTATATAGCATGATATTTCCCGGTATTTCTGCCCGAACTGGCAGAGGTGACGGCTGGCTTCGTGGAAAATACGTGATCAAAAATAACGTACTGACTCGATTTGGTTATCAAAATGTCCAAAATCGTGACACATCCATCAAAAACAATTGCGTGTATATTTAAATGAAAAAAAAAAATTCTACAAATAAAAAGCACAATGAAATCGTCCGGATTGTGTAAGAAATAAATTTTATTTCGAAAATTAAAAAATTATTAAAAATTTGTAGATTTTTTAAATAAATAAAAAAAAATATGAAACAGACTTTCATTTTGTCCCCTAAACTGGGGTAGAGAAAAAGAAATTAATTCAATAAATTTTTCATTACAGGGAAAAGTATTTTTATTGTTCCAATAAAGTATAAAACAAATTAAAATAAATAGTTTAATAATTTTTCAATTAGGGAAAAAGTGTAAATTATTTAATTGAAACGTAATTTTTATTAAGAAAAGTGTCAAGAATTCGAATTTTAGGCTTTTGTTAATTTATTTTTAGTTTGAAATTAATAAAATCGATTGTAACTCATTGGGTTTTATCAGCTTACGAAATAGTTTTAATGGGAGACTAATGTCAATAGTAGTAATTTAATCAATTAAACTTATAGTTCAGTTTTTTTTTCTCTCTTTCTTTCTCTAAGAAAAGATTGGCCCGAGAAATGGCTATATTTACTTCTATCGGATATTATGTAAAAAAAATGAAACCCCAGTTAAATAAATTAAAATCCAACGCAAAAGTTGAATTTAATCAAGAATTTTAATTAAATTATAAAAGAAATTTTTCCATTAAAAAAGTTAACGAGGAATTTAATTCTCATTCGAATTAAAAAATTTTTTTTATAAAACAAATTTTTAGGGAAAAATAAATTTTCTAAACTTTAAAAGGAAAAAAAAGAAGAAAGTATAAAAAATTTTTTGTAAATGTAAGAGATATTGAACTTAAAAATCCACATAAGTCACCAACAATGAATGCCGGCGTACATGAGAAATTTTTACATATAATGAAATATTCCACACTCAATAAAATTTAAAAACTAAAAATATATATTTCCAGAAAACATTTTTCATGAAATATCTACTTATTACTCACCAAATATAAATTTCACATATTCTAAAATTTACATTTTTTCATATTCTTTTTGACACGTGATTTTTTTTTCTAAAAGAAAAAATGTTCTTTTTATCAATAGGAAAAAATATAATTTTTTTTTTTTAAATAAAAAATTTCTTTTTTTCAAAAAAAATTTCTTTTTATAAAAAAAAAAAAAATTAAAAATTAAATTGTACGAATTTTCGAATGAGAGAGGAGATTTTGGTACTTTACCTTCTCAAAGAGATGCAACTCGGCGATAAGAGCGTAGCAAATGAAGATGAAACGTGCATCTTCAAGATTGCGGGTACGTACCCCCCGAGGGGTAACCTCTTGGGGGATGGTAAACCCCCCGGGCCAGGTACCACCCCTTATGGCACCTTCCCGAAAATCCACTTTAAATTCTACACCTTAATTTTCCCACATTTTTTTACATGACACTTTTTTTCCCAAATTTTTACATTTTTCTCAACTTTTTCCAAAAACAAAAATTACTTTCCATCAAAGTTTCGAATTTCCATCACTATGACTATATTTCATTCGTACACTATAGAATAATACGCGACACTTTTTGTATTTTTTATTCATTTTTTTTTTAATATAAAAGTCTAAAGGTTTTTCTGTGGAAAAAATAAAATACTCTAAAATGGAGAATAAAATTTAAATTAGTGACAATTTATTTATTAATTTTTGTAGAAATTTTCACTAATTTTTATTTATTCAAAATTATTTAATAAAATAGGCTTTGATTTAGTAGTATTTTTTGTACTAAAGTTTTAGTAAAAAATGACTAAAACTGTAGAAAAAAAAAACTATTATTAACCCAAATTATTATTACTTATTTTTAGAAAAAGTATTACTAAACTAAATAGTAATTTTTTTTACTAAAAATAAGTGAGAATTTGTTTACTAATTTGAATTAGTATTTTACTAATTTTTAGTAAAATATCACTATTTACTTTGGTAATATTTTTTACTAAAGTTTTAGTAATTTTTCACTAATTCTTAGTAATTATTTTTTAGTAAATAATTACTATTTTATTTAGTAATATTTTTTTACTAAAGTTTCAGTAATTTTTAACTGGAAAATTAGTAAAAAAATTTCTACTAATTTCACTAACTAAATTCAAATTTAGAGAATACATGAAATTATTCTCAATTTTTTTGATTGTTTTCCAGGGGACAAAATTTTAATTTTCATAATAAATTTAACGAAATATTAAAAATTGTGAGATTTTTTTTTCTTTTTCTGAAATACAGTTTTTTTTTTACGAGACACATGTTATATATAAAGAATTATTTGAGTGTTTGCTTACGATCCTAAGGGATACAACTTGGAAAAGAATTGCGTCGACTGTAGTCAATGTTGAATGGGAAAAAAAAAAGATGTATATGAATAATGTATAAACGAAAGAATCCAAAGTAACCAACAGAGGCTATATGTACAAAAGCAAAGGTTTTATCGCTGAATCTTTTGATATCGAATTGTGTCTCACCATTTAACCGAGAACAAAGGGGGTTCCTGAATTTGACAAACTTTCTCTAATGGACTCACAAATTATTTTCATTCACAGTGTAAATATATATTTGACTTTTAAATTTTTCTTTTCGATTTTTATTAAATTATATTTTATAATATAATCGCATATTCAACGGAATGTTGAACTGGAAAATTTTAAATAAATTGAACTCAAAAAAATTTTGTGTCTAAAAAAACAATTTGAAAAAAATATTTTTATGATGAAAAAACAAAGTAGAGGAAAATTGCTGTTTTATAATTGACATGTGTTTTTTTTTATTGCTTGAAATTCGAGTACTTGATAGGTTTCTGGTTAAAGAGAACCATTAGTGACAACCACACGTATTATAACACTCTTACATGCCATTAGGATTTCCATTAAACCTTCTAGAGTGATAAAAGTCGAACGTTTCTTGCAGATAATCAATCAAGCGTCAGATTGAACACATTAAAAGGTTCTTTTAGCTAAGAAGAAGAAAAAAAAAAGATGATTCAATGTTAATTTTATCCTTGGATCTTTTTAATCAAAGGCATCTCTTTTTCTCTTCATCAAGAAAACTGAACTACACAATGAGTTTAAATTTTATAAAGAGGGGGGGGGGGGGGTAAAGAAAATTATTATATTCTTAAAGTAAGAATATAATATCCTTAAAATTGGAAACCGTTCTCTAAATACTCTCAATCTGTAAGAAATATTTTCAGAAGTAAAAACAGGATTCGAAATTTCAATTTTTATATTTAAACAATTTTTAATTAAAATTAATTATATTTTCTAATAAAAAATATTTCTTGAAACATTAATTTTTTTATGCTTCGCTATCAGAAAAAAAATCTGACTATTATCAAATAAATCTTTTGATAAATACAAATAAATATTTAGTTTATAAGAGTCAAGTAACCAATTATTTGATACATATAAATTTTTTTATAAATATTAATTTTTATTTTAAAAAGGAAAAAAAATACTAACGAGACCATTCTCTAAATATCCATTTGGACGAGAAAGAGTATGAATGAATTTTTTTTTTTTTGCAAAAATTGAAAAATAAAATATATAAAAGCTGAAAAGGCCACAATCGTATATTTGATACTTATTTTGTGGATTGCCAGAGTCGTGAGAGTCGCGAGAGGTAGGAAACGAGTGGATTTAGCTTGCAGTGCTCTGAGAGAGAGGAAGAGAGAGAGAGAGAGAGAGAGAGAGAGAGAGAGAGAGTGACTGAGTGAAGTGCATCGAGCTC